ACACTTAGTAGGGACAGCCAGAGTACTGGAAGCTTATTATTAAGGTTCTTGGTGATAGGTTGTAAATTCTCTAAAAGTTTTAGATCTGATATAATTTTTTAAAAAGACCCGGACATATGGGAGCAGATGCAGCACTAAATTACATTCATTTTTAATGCAGGAAGAGTCAGTTCCTGATAAACGTCTCTGAAAATTCAGACCATTGTCTGGTTGTAACCAACGCAGCCAGGGTTGGATTGTTAGAAACAAGAAGGGAATTTTAAGTCTGAGAAGTTTCTGCAGGACACCACGAGGCTTAATTGTCTAGAATGTGTCCTGAAGAGCAGCTTCTCTTTCCTATCTTTTAGAATTAACCTGGTACAATGGGAAAATTGTCTCTAGCAAAAAGGGTCAGCTGTATTATTGTTTTAATGTAAATGTTATTGGGAACAGCCATGGTCATTGGTTACATACACATTGCTTTCATGCTATAATGGAATAGTTGACTCTTAGGGAGGGCGCAGCTCACAGTGGCTCATGCGGGAATCTAACCAGCAACCTTGGTGTTAGCAACACCACGTTCTAACCAACTGAGCTAACTGGTCACCCCCAACATTATTTTTTTAATCCACCAAAGCTTTAGAAAATAATTCAGTCTGTTTACATTGCCAAAATTGGTGTTTTTTTTTAACTGAAGGGAGATTTGATGTACAATTTACATATAGTTAAATCACCCTTTAAGTGTATATAGTTCTATGAGTTTTGACAAACAGATACATTCGTGTAGCCACCACCACAGTCAAGATGTATAACATTTCCGTTACCCCCAGAAGTTCCCTCATGTCCCTTTGGCCTAAGGTGTTTCTGATTTTAATCCATTTAAAAGCTTAGCTCATAGAGATTGCAGAGTGGATAAAGGTGCTGCTTTAAGATGTTTGGGTATTTTCTATGTTTTCAGAATTCCTGGGAAAGATCCTTATTACAGAATTGGGCTCTTGTTTATTCAGGGCTATTTTTAGAGAGCCCTGCATATGGACTTGGACATAGGCATGCATCTGCTTGGAAGCTGGCTTGGTCTGGGCTGGTCCCAGGGAGAGAACCTCCAGCAGACCTGAGAGTCCTAGGCTGGATCTGATTTCAGAGGTGCCCGTGAGAACCACAGGAGGTAAACCTGGGGAAGTTTAGCTTGATACCTCATCCAGCTATTTATTATATTTAGAGGCAGTCAGAGGCACAGGGAGAACTAAGAAAAATCCTGAAGTAGGCGACACAGAATCTCCATTGTGTTCCGTTGGGAGGGCCTTGAAATAATTAAATTATAAAGTATTACTTGCTTGTGATAATAATGGTTAACATTTACATAGCTTTCACTATGGGCCAGGCACTGTTTTTAGCACTTTATGTGCATTGATTTATTTTAGTCTTCATCAGCCCTATGAGTGATTATTTTCATTCTAGAGATAAGGAAACTAAGGCACAGGGAAATTAGCTCATTTGCCCCAGTCACCCAGCTAGTAGGAGGAGGAGCTAGGATTCAAACCCTGGCAGTCTGACTTCAGAGCCTCCCCTATAACCTGCTGGAAGGGTTAATGTGGGATCTAAAATGCTTCTTCCCCCAAATGGGAAGATGTTGTTAAAGGGTACAAATTTGCATCTAGAAGATGAGACGTGCTGGAGATCTAACGTACAGCATAGTGATTACAGTCAATCATGCTGACTGTGATAACTTCAAAGTAACCAAGAGATGAGAATGTTCTCACCACAAAAAGGAAATGATAATTATGTGAGGTGATAGAGATGTTAGCTAAAGCTGTGGTGCTAATAATACTGGAACGTATAAATGAATCAACATGTTGTACACCTTCAACTTACACAAAGTTGTATGTCAATTATATCTCAATTGAAAAAAAACTAATAAATGTCTTTCTTCGTTGGCCCCCAGCACTCCCCTAAGCAAGCCTGTTAAAACGTGTTGGCAGTCAGTTCAGAAAAGCTCTTTGCCTGTATCGTTCACTTTTGCTATGGCTCTGAAACTTGTTTCTACAACTTAACAACATACCTTGGATATCTTGGAAAGAGCTTTTAAAATTACCTATTGTCTTCATTTTAAGGATGAAAACAACCTGAGGCCCAGAGAGGTTAAGTGATGTGTCCATATTGGATCTCTTAATAGTTTTGGGTCAGCCTCCTGTTCTGCCTCAAAATTTATTTTGACACCTGACCCCCTTGGGTACTAACTTCTCTCAGGTGGCAGTCTAGGGCCCTTAATTGTGCTGTCCCACCAGACGGTGTCCTGTGATGGCCATCCACCCACCTTTCCTTTTTCTCACCTCTGTATCATATTTGTCTAGGACAGCGGTTCTCAACCTTCCTAATGCCGCGACCCCTTAATACAGTTCCTCATGTTGTGGTGACCCCCAACCATCAAATTATTTTTGTTGCTACTCTATAACTGTAATTTTGCTACTGTTATGAATTGTAATGTAAATATCTTTTTGTTTTCTGATGGTCTTAGGCGACCCCTGTGAAAGGGTCGTTTGACCCCCAAAGGGGTCACGACCCACAGGTTGAGAACCACTGCTCTAGGATCTTGCTTTTATTTTAGTCAGGTAATAATGAATAGAAATAAGTTGATGGGATAAACCAGGGTTTCCCAAACTTCAACATTCTGGTACAATTTCTATGATTTTTGGCCATTTTCTCATGCTACCTGGATTATTACTTATTTAATATTTTTCATTAAGTCTATTCTCTATATTATTTACTATACTATTTTTCACTGAAGATTTTCTTTTAAATTAACTCACTATTAAACCCTGGGTGTGCTAGTTATAATTGTAAAACATGCATTAAAATAAACACATGAGCATTAAAATAAAAAATTAAGGCATGTACGACCCACTTGTGGTATGTAACCTGCATTTTAGGGTAATATAAGCTAATCCTGCTATGTTAGTCAGATCAGAGCTTTTCAAACTTACCTAAGGGCCAATTTTTAAGAAAAAATTTCCAGTCTATCATGGACTGATACTTTTGTAAAATAACAATGAATTATTAGAAAAATGAATCAGTAAAAGAAAGCATACAAAATACAACCTTAAAACAACAGACATAACACTGCTCTCAAATTGCCCTAAGAATTACTAAATGCATTCTCTCAGTTTCTGTGCTTTTCTCCTTGGGGGCTCTAACTAGCAGCTGGAGGACCACACCTTACATAGCAATGAGCTAATTAATGTTCTGTTCTTCCAACTAGGTTCCAGCCTTAGATGGGCTATATAAATGTGTCCCATGGAAGACTGGGCAAGAGACTTTTCCTCTCTGAGCCTCAGTGTCTCTTAGGGTCCATCACTGGGAGGGTCCTTACCGGAGAAGGCTTCACATCCTGGGGGAGGCTTTTGAAATGGGACATGTTTGGGAACCTCTCCCTATCACCACGTGGAGGGCTGCCAGCTTCCTGGAAGAGGGGACACCAACTTCTGAGGACAGGTCTAGCAAAGACCAAAATGAGCCCAGACAAGAGGTTCCTCTGGAAAGTGGGCATCTAATTGTAAGGATAGATTTAAAGGGGGATGTGAGTGTGTGGGGGTGGATCTGGGTAGTGGTGGTGGTGGTGGGGGTGATAGTTGTCAAAAACAGAGGGGTAGAAAGAGGAGAAAGGCAGAGAAAAAGAAAGGAGTGAATCCGGAGGACACTTGAATGGATATATTTGCAGATAGAGACCTGGGGTTTTGGACTGTTCTGCCGGGAAGTTAAAGGCTGGATGTTGAGGCCATTTGAATGGAAACAGTGCATACCGGGCAGAACTGCTCCTGCGAACTGTCTTGGGCCAGCGTGAGGGAATGAACAGGACACTTCCCTTGATGGAACTAACCCATGTTCCACACATGTACCATACGCATTGCATGAGACCTCGGATGACAAAACCCTTCATGTTGTGCTCCCTACCGCTCAGGGTCTGGCTTCCTCCGACACCTGGAAAGCTTGTCATATCATATTTAAGCCAGAGTGCAAATGCACTGAAAACAAATGCATGTGTGCCAGGCTCGACTTCATTTGGCTGCTTCATGCATGGATCACGGATGGTCAGGAGCCACTCACCAAAGCCAAGGTGGGCGGCGGTGGGGGTGCTGGAGGGGGCGGGACAGGCATCTTGGACAGTCACGCTTTTACCAGTCTTGCTGATAAATCTGTGAAAACAAAACCAAAAGAAACAAAACATGGTCATGTAGTAGACTTCTTAGTGATACTCTGCTCTACTCTCCTGAACCCTTTCTCATCAGAGTTACAGCTATTCACAGAGGCTAGCTTTTATAAGAGGTGGAATTACCTTTACAACATTGCTGACATGTGACTCTTCTGGAAGGACCCTCGTAAGGGAGGTTTTGAGCCTAAGTGCCTGAAGATATTGGAAGTAAAATCCAGCACTTCATGCTGGCTCAGTTCCACCTCCCACCAGGGCAGGTTGGGGAATGTCACATGCAAGGCCCCTGGGCCTGGGGCCTGAGTGGCTGGAAAGTTATCATGACGCTGCTAGAAATGTATCCGGGCCGAGTGATGTTCAAGTGGCTCCTCCTCACTCATTTCCATGATCGAATCCTTTCTTTCTCTCCCACTCCTGCCCACTCCGCACCCCACTGTTTTCTTTTCTGTGCAGGGTTTCCTGATGTTTGCCTGGGTCTGGGTATGCACTGTAGGGATGCAAAGATGAAAATATTTCTGCTCTTGACCTCACAGTTCTTACAGGCCTCTAGGGAAAGGAGATGGGGATAAGGTAAGGTAGGCGGGTAAAATGGGCAAGGAGGCTGGCTTCCCATCTTTGTGCTACTTGGCATTTCCTTATAGGATCCAAATGGGAAAAAAGAGGGGAGAAAAAAGAGATGAGGACTCCAACCTGTGACTCCAGGGCTGTTTACTAGAAGTATGCTTCCTTAGGAAAGCTTTCTGCATAGTGTGATTGCTCTGGGAACGGAGGGAAGGCCAGACTCTGTGGCTGGGTGGGAGAGTTGAGGGAAACCCTGGTGGGTAGCAGTGGTAAAGGGGGCAGTGGGCAAACATCAGGGGCTGAAGAAACAGTGGTGAGGGAGTGTGCTGGGCGTTACACCAGCCACAAACCCCATTTGCCTTTCCCCCCAGTCCTCGGAGTCCCAGCCCTGGCAGTGCCTCACCCCCTTTCTCACCCTAAGTAATCCCAACTTCTCCCACCCAGTCCTTGCTGCTGCTCCAAGTGTGGTCCCCGATCAGCAGCATGGGCATCACCCAGAGCTGTGAGAAACGTCAAACCTCAGCTTAACAAGATCCCTAGGTAATTCATAGGCACTAAAATCTGAGAAGCCTGGTTGTAGAATTTGAGCCTTAAACAAGTGGACAGCTTGGGACACTGACCACTTGAGTAACTGTTTCTACGGAACACGTGTCCGGAGTTTCAAACAGCAGTATTATCTTTCTTTTATTCTCAAGGGTCCCTTAATCGCAGAAAACAACTTCTTAGGATTTAAATTTAGTTCAACCACTAAATGTTAATGTGGAAAACTTAACAACTTGAAACAAACACGTTCTATTAAAGTGGCTTGCTTTCTGTGAACAGAAATGGAGTGGAAAAGCTAAAAGGTCCTAGCTGGACTTGTCAAAGCTGCTGGAAGACAGGAATAAAGACAGATTGAACTAGTTCTGTTCAAAGCGGGTAATCTAGAAAATAAAATTTAAAAAACTCCACAGCAGCAGCAGCAGCTCGCATTCATTGACAGTCATTTGGCCCCAGGGCGCGTTCCTTGCATTGTCTCTTACTTTTACAGACATTGCAACCTAGCTCGATTCTGTTGCTTTTAACGCTGAGACTCAAAATTAAATAACTCACTAAAAGACCCACATAATTCATTCCAATTAAGTCCTTTTGATCCCTGCTTTTCAGGTAAGCATTTTTGGGCAAATAAAGGGCTAACGAGTGCTACCGCTCACCTGTAAACTAAGCCAGAATCTGTTTTTCAGTAATAGGCTATTTCAGATGAGGATTCTTTGAAAATGTGTTCCTTAACTTGGTTTTCTGCATGACGCCAATTAGTCACCCGTGCGGCCAAGTGGGCAGGGTAAGCTGGGTTGTGTGCCTATCTTAGGAGGTCTGTAAACGGGGTTCTCCAGCTGCAGAAGGCACCATTGGAGCCACAGATTTAGATGTGTCCTAGGACCAGGAGGAAGGACAGGGATCTGAAACTGGATTCAGGTCCAACTAACTGTGAAAGATGCTGTAGCCAAAGCAATAGTATTAACAGAGCTGGAGAAAGTGGCTCAGCAAAGAGGTGGTGTGGCTGAGACCGCCCAGAGGGCCTGAGAGATGAACTTCGTGGAGTAGATCATCCACGTGCGTGGTGGATGAAACACCCCTCAACATTCAAATTTATTGTGTCGGATCCCATGTTCACCAACTAACCTGTCATCCTAATACTGAGGAAGGAGTGGATTCTGGTCAACCACTAGGAACCCCTTATGGATTTGAGTCTCAAGTCAGTCTCTGGTTGCAAAGATCAAACTGAGTTTCTGTCCTGTACATCTTAGAGGCCAGACTGTGGTATAGGGACCCTTTCAGGGGACTGCCACCTCTTTAATCTAATTATTCTAGAATTTTCTGTGCACTACACCTACTTATAAATAAACCTCTGGACCACGGAAGCGCAGCCTTGCCCTCCTGGCCACTTCAGATAAACAACCTCAGATAAACCAAGGTAAGTGCTTTCAGCTTTCCAAGGGTGATACGGACCTAAGTACATTGAAAAACACGGGGATTTAGGGGTGCTAACACCCATGCAGTTGAGAATACGAATGTAACTTTTGACTCCCCCAAAACTTAACTACTAATAGCCCACCATTGACTGGAAGCGTTACTGATAACATAAACAGTCAATTAACACATTTTTTGTATATTATATGCATCTCAATAGAATTATAGTTTATTCTATTATAGAATTATAATAATAGAATAGTTTCCTTGGTAATCCTCTGTATTTTGTTTTACGCGTTTAACAACCGTCCAAGAAGGAGTCCTTTGGGCTTTACCAGACACTAGTGTGGTCTATGGAATGAAAAAGGTTACAATCCCCATGAGAACATATGACCTGGATCAGGCAAATATGATTTTGAATCTTTGCTCTGCTACCTAATAACCTGGGATAAAAATCTTACCTCTCTGAGCCTCCCTTTCTCATCTTCAGTGGGGGTTGCTGGGAGGATGAAATGAAATGGTGCCTATGTCAAGTTCTTAGCATGGCTGGTAGAGAAAGCAATCAATAGGTGGGTCTAGGTCTGTATTCCTTGAGGGTGAGTGAGCACGTGTCCTGCTGGTGTGAGTGCTGCTCGAGCGAGCACCTGGCAGAGGAGGGACTGAGCTGGCCATTGAGCTGAGGCCCTTGCTTTGCCCAGCGTCCTTTGTGGGTAGAGCTGCACAGGGTGGGAATGAGGCAGCCTGAAGACTTGGCCTCGCTGCACGTGGTTCCTCCCTTGGGAGATGGGAGCATGGCAGGGTTTGCATCAGAATCAGCTGTGTGCTTTTTGAGACCGCTGTGTCCTGCCCCGCACCCTAAAGCTGGAGGGTCACTGACTTACCCATTTGCTGACCCTTGTCCTCCCACCCCACCCCAGGCACTGAACTTTTATGAACATGTACTTTTGAGAACTAACTTATTTTAAAGAATCATTTTGTTATTGAAACAATTTTCATCATAGGGAGAAAAGCCAGACTTTTCTAAAATGGTCACCTTGTGTGTTGAATTTCACGTGCACAAAGAAAACCACAGGGATGGAAAAAAAGCTTTTCTGTTTTCATGCGCAGTGTAGTGAGTCGAATTGTGTCCCTCCCAAATTCATATGTTGAAGCCTCAACTTCTAGTACCTCAGAACGTGACTATATTTGGAGACAGGGCCTTTAGAGAGGTGATTAGGTTAAAATGAGATGGTGGGCCCTCATCCAATAGGACCTCAAATATCTCTGAATTGTCATACATTAAAGATATAGGAAAATCAGCCGGAACCCTAGAGTATGTGATTGCCAAAGTTTTATTTAATAATTAAATAAGTCATTCAAAAAACATCAAATTTTAGGTGAAAATCTATTGCGGTAAGGGATCCACTAATAAACCCTTTATAAAGGGATTGGCTCTCTGGTATGAGAGAACAGAGCAGGGTATTTTGCATAAATGACTTTAAAAATTCATTCGTTGGTTCTTCTTTGTGGCCTACACACACACACACACACACACACACACACACACACACACACTATACATCAATATTTAGAAATCCTGGAATTTCCTAGTTCTGTGTGAAAAACAAGTGTCTTTAGTAGTTTTATTATAATGCCATTAGGTCAACATCTAGATTAACGTTCACATTAGACAGCATCACACACTGATCCTAAACCAACCAGGGCATCCTGTGACCCAGAGTCATTTGCTAAATATGTAATATTGATTACATGGGACACTTGTGAGAAAGACTGAATTGCTCCGCATGCTCCCCACCCTATAGCGGACATGTATCTTCCAAAGGCATGGCCAACTAGAGGCTCAACCACAGTCCGCAGTTCAGTTCAGACTCACCCTAGGAAACTTACGGTTTCTTCTTCAATATGCTCATCTAAGAAAGCAGAATTATCTCTGTAAAATGATCCACCTCCTTAGGATCAAAAGAATGGGCTAGTTATTTAAATAAACTGTTTCTTAATTTCTCATAGCCAACTTTAGATTCATTCTAGAGCATGCCATGTGAGGCTCCCACTACAGAATGACACGAAGAGGGGAGCAATTTTCAACACTGTCCAATGAAAACATCTGAGAATCCTCAGAAGGCCACATCTAGTCCTGAATGTGTGTGTGGGCGGGGAGTGAATCAGCCAAGTTTTATTAGAGATGGTAAAAAGCAGGTTTATCCAGTTATGTTTTATTACCATTTTGGACTATTAAAAAATACCAGGGTGCCAAAAACAATGTACACACATGACTTGTATTCATCTTTTGTTATCAGTATATATTGAGTATTACAATTTTAATAGTTTTTCCTTTCTTAAAATGTGTATACATTTTTATGGCACCCTTAATATAAAGCATTTTGCTATATAAAGCTTGCCAAAAGTCACCCTTAAATACAACCCTACCTAAAATAAATGGGAGAAAAGTAAACTTTGTTTTCAAAAAGGTTGAAT